GAGACTTTGCCACAAATAAATAAATAAATTAAGAAGTACATGAGAAATAAAAGTCCCGAGTGTTCATTCTCTGTCTATGGGTAGAAGGAAATGAAGATAAAATATAAATGAATCGATATTATGTGACGAGGTTGAGGACTCACCCATCCCACCCACTGGCAGTTCCCTCTGAGTTCCCCAAATTCAATGTCCCCTCCAAATCTTTCCCCTTCGGCACAGAAAGAGATTTGGGAGAGGTTTTTTTTTTTTAATCATTTCATCTTTAAAATGTTTCTATGTATGTGGTACAGGCTTGTGCTCATGAATGCAGCGTCCCTCAGAGGCTAGGAGTGCCAGATCCTCCGGAGCTGGAGTTACACGGGGCTGTAAGCCACCCAACATGGGTGCTGGAAACCAAAACTGGGACTTCTGCTTCTGCCGCCCGGAGGGAATTGCAAACTGGTAAATAATAAGCCCATTTTTTTTCTCCCATCTCTTTCAATTCCCTTAGGAAAGCTGGCTCTGAAGAAGGCTTAGTATGTACCATTAATTCTCAGGGATCTTGAAAACATAGCAGGCCTTTACACTACAATATGTATTACTTGGTCTGCGTATTTGACTCTGTCGCTATGGACACCGCAATGCATCCCACGAAAACATAAAACCCACACATTCTTCTGTCCAGCACTGACTTGTGCTGCTGGGAATCTAAGGGTGGTGGCCAGGATGTGTGTAAATATACTGATTGCACTAGGACGACAGAAGAGACACTGTAAGCCGACTAAAGCGCGCAGTGCTAGAGGGGTCCTGTTCTCAGGTTACGCTACCACGTGTAGGCAAAAAGCAACATTCTTTGACCTAATGCACCAGAGTCCACTAGCCCTTTGTCCTTAATCAAGCACAAAGTGTTGTGCTTTTCTGTCTCAGTCTCTCCGGGGCTCTCTACCAGCTAAAGGCCCGTGGGCCACTGTTTCACGGTTTTGTCCTAAAGACGTCCCCTCTCTGGGATCAGACCTGGCCCCAACAGTTTAAGGGTTCTAAAAGAATCTTTTGCTTCTTCTTTAAAATTTTTATTGTTATTACAATTTTAATTATGTATATGTGGGCGGGAGGATGTCCATATGAATGCAAGTCCCCATAGAGGTCAGAGGTCAGAGGTGTCAGATCCCCCTGCAGCTGGGGTTACAGGAAGTTGTAAGCCACCTGAAGAATGCTGGGAATCAAACCCAGGTCCTCAGGAAGAGCAGTATGTGCCACTAAAGCCATCTCTCCAGCCCCAGGGTCCTTTTCTCTTTAAGACACATTCTTTCCTTTCCTATTGACTAAAATCACCATTATTTTAAAACTTGCCATTTTTGACAAAGGACAAATTGAAACTGTTATACTTACATGTCACCCCAGCAGAAATTCTATTAGCAACAGGGTGTCTTTAGATTCTTCAGGCACCCCTGCCTCAGTACCCACTGTTTCTGCCCTGGTCTGCAAAAGGTCGCAAGTGTGTGGGTCAAGGCATAAAATTCCCTGGGAAATTCAGAACTTCCTGTTAAAGGAATTGGCGTTCTGCCAATCTGACGGGAGCGGATTCTGCCCCCTGCTGGAGGTGTTTAGTTTCTGCAGTCAAGCTTCAGGAAGAAAGCAATAAACTCTGAAGCAAGAACCCACTGCTTTTTCAGAAATCCCCACACCTCTGTGAAGCACAATTAATAAAAACTCAATGACAGAAAAAAAGGGGTTCAATATGAAGGTCATAAAAGCCAACCAGCCAGCCACTGGCTCTTGCCTCAACCTCAGTCCGAAATGGTGATTCGGCCTCTAGGAAACCTCAGAATGAGACTGAGAGCTGTCTCCTCCCATTTAATAATCCTCTCTAGTTCTGGGATTAAGGGCGTGCACCAATACTGCCTGGTTTCTATGGCAAGCTAGTGTGGCTACTGAGATTAAAAGTGTGTGTCAATGCTGCCTGGTCTGTACGGCTGGCCGGGGGGGGGGGGGCTGTTTTACTTTTCTGATCCTCAGGCAAGCTTTATTTATTAAAATAAAAATGAAATGCCACTCCACCTTTGTCTAGAATTACACCCCTTACCTTTCTCTTTGACGAAGTCTTTCTGTACCTCTGGGATGAGAAAACTATAAACCAACTCGGCAACAATCTCCTCTGACTGAAGAGACGTTCGACTAGAAAACAACGTCAAAAAAATTGAGCGGATAAATAAAAAAATGAACTCCCGCTTTCTCTGCTTGGGCTGCTGATAGTCACTGAGACCCACGTGACCTACACAAGCCATTCCTCAATGCCACTGTCACCTTTCCCTTGATTGGATGACCTGAAAGAGCACATCCCTGGCAAGCTTGTTTGACTTCATAAAAACATTAGAATTTGACCCCATCCTGCCTGCTATGAGGAAGGCACATGTTAAAAATTCAGCAAATACTTGGAAGTCTAAAACATACTGGGATTCAGTCCAAATAATCAAATATTTGTCAAATGCATATATCTACTCTGCTTTTATGTTCTGGGTATTGTAATGTATAGGATGGAAATGGACCAGAAGGATAGAGGAAGACAAAGGATTCAGTCCACAGTGCTCCTACCAAGAGGGGTATGGGCATGTTGAGTCCCAGTGAGGTCTGCTAGCAAAGCAACAGACATCAGAGCATGGCGGGGCCTGAGGGTCTGAAAGATTACAGTTGAATAACAGTAATGTCATCATCCATTGCCCAGTCTTTTCTGTGATGCCTACCGGCTTTCCATTTCATAAGCGATGTCGTTGATTTCCTCGGCGATCCTCTCGATTTCGGCCCTGGCTTGTTCCTCCGCAGTTCTCTCTTCGGTGTTCAGGATGATGTCCTCCAGGTAGGAGGTCACAGTGCTTTGGTGGACTTTAATCAACTGCCGAGATTAAAATATATACACCGCTTAAGAACTTCTATTGTTGCCAGTACAGAAACCACACAGACATTGCTTAATGACCTCACAGTTCATGTATTTCTTTCATTAGCCACTGCTCTGTTTCTCATCCATCTGCCTATGTTTTCTGGGCAGCCCAAGCCACTTACCCATCTCATAACTTGGATCCTGGGTCTTACTTGGATGATGGTTAAAAGCTCTACAAAATAAAGATGATCAAAAGCCTGGTTTGGATCCCGGTTGTTCTTATCAGTTGTGTGACTTGGCCAGGCCACCTAACTGTAGCAGAGGTTAAGGAATATTTCCTAATACCCTTGCTGTCTTTTATCTTAAATAACAGAATCTTTGGATTTCAGCTAGGCAAACAGGTACGGAAGGCCTACATTTCCTAGTTCCAGTTTCTGGAGGACCACATGACCAAGGCCAGGCCAAGTCAATACGAGCTGAGGTGATATGCCCAAGAAAGACTTAGCTTCCCCCTCTTCTTTCTCTCTCTTTTTATGTTTTATTTTATGGACACGAAACCTTTGCGGACAGTAGTCACCTTAAGTTGCCACAAGGGCCATATTTTAGAGGCTCTAGAGCAGAAAGAGAAAGGGTTCCAAGTCATAACGGCCCTTAATCACTTTTTGAAGATTTATTGAAATTATGAGATAGAATACAGAGGGTTTTTTTTGTTATGCAGAGCACATAATATAACGAATTAGGATAAAATCAGTACCCATATAGTCGCTGCTAGTGCCTAAGAAGACCACGGGGTCCTTCCTGACCACAGCCTGTGTCCACTTTCATGAGGGTCCTAGTGAGTGCTTATTTAGCTTTAGAATTTTACTCACTAACTATGTAATCTCAGGCGAAACCACTTAGCTTTGTTTGTTTCACACACATGCATGAGTGTGTGTACACATACACACACACACAGAAAGTATCACCAGCATCAACACTACTTTGTGTGTGTGTCTTTGTCTCAACAAACTGTGAGTCTCATGGAGGCAAGAACATTTTTATGTCTGAATATTTCTTTGAATCTGAGATAATACCCAGGACTCTGCTTGGGCTGCTGATAGGCACCGAGACCTGTGTGGCCTGTTTCTTAGAGGGCCCAAAGGTGTAACCTAAGTATGTGATACTTATTCTTTTTATATATATATATTCCAGACAGGGTTTCTCTGTAGCTTTGGAACCTGTCCTGAAACTCACTCTGTAGACCAGGCTGGCCTCAAACTCACAGAGATCCACCTGCCTCTGCCTCCCAAGTGCTGGGATTAAAGGTGTGCGCCACCACCGCCCAGCGTGATACTTACTCTTTATGTACCTTGAACCCCAATATCAACCTTATGCCCCACACCTTTCTGATGTTAGCATCTTAATGGCAGTGCAATACATTATAACCCAAGACATATTTGTCGAATGTCTAGTGTGTCCAGGGCCCACGCTGATGGTGCAGAGAGCACAACGTGAGTACACGGCACACTTGCCCTTGTGAAGTTGAGCATTTATTCAGGAAGCAAGCTATAAAGACACAGGACGCTAGATAGCTGGGTTATAACACAGAGATGAGGGAGGGGAGAGAAATACCGGTCACAGATGTGCTCACACAAAGCGGTCCTTAAGTCAAACCAAGAAAGTTATTAACTCTTTTGTGTCCTTCCCAGATGAGACTGAAATCTCTGCCTTTCCACTCAACTGTCCAAGCTAAGTTTCCGATGAACTCCTGATTCTGCCCCTGACCCGCCATCCTCTCCACCTACCGACCTTCCAAAGGAGCAGTCACAGTCACGTAAGCCATGGACTACTCGCCACTCTTGACCATATCCTTTAAAGAGGACCCCATCGTTGCCTCCCTTCTCCCTCCACAGAATTTCAAATTCTATAATTATGTGCATGTTCCGTGTTATTTAAATTGAAGGAGGGAAGGGCTGTGCCTGCGTCTTCCATCCAGAGTACCCACAATGCCTTTGTACTCTTTAGTGCAGAGTGGAAACAAGATGAACACAAACCCAGATCCCATTTAAATCATGAAGTGTCTGTATGATTTCGTGAGACATCCCAGGAGATGTCTTTGGTTAAACCTGGCTCCCCGTAAGTCCTGGATCTAGGAAGTTTACGACGCCCCGCTGCCCCACTTGCCTCCTTAAATATCTGGTCCTCTTGCTGCAGGCGCCTTTGCTCCACCTGCCGTCGACCACTCTCTTCGGCCTCCCGCATGCGCCGTTGGCGCTCAGCCAGCATCGCAAAGGCGTGGATCCTCCTCTCCTCCTGCAGCCTCACCAGCTCCTTGGACAGGAAGTCAAGCATGTCGGCCAGCACTCTCCCTTCCAGGTCACCCAGATGGTTTTCGATGACTGACAACTTAGAAACGAGAAAGACTTTAAGGACGAGCTCCATTCAGAACGGTGGTTCTCAAGTGTTGGGCAACCCAGAATAACCAAGCAAGGCAACTTCTTGTTACAACAGCCTTCACCAGGAATATTATGCCCTGGTGACCCCCATCCCTGGGCACTTGTTGGAAAATGTAACACAAACTTAGACCTGAGAAAGCAGATCTGAGAAAGTCCTCAGGGTTCACAGTTCTCAAGTCATGAAGAGGACTTACTGAAACATTGTTTTTGTTTTTCGAGACAGGGTTTCTCTGGTTTTGGAGCCTGTCCTGGAAATAGCTCTTGTAGACCAGGCTGGTCTCGAACTCACAGAGATCCGCTTGCCTCTGCCTCCCAAGTGCTGGGAGTAAAGGAGTGCACCACCACCCAGCTTGACTTACTGAAACATTGTCTCAGCAAGACACACAATGTAATTTTTTTTGTTCAATTTTATGCAGAATGTCAGACATGAAGGAAAACAAGACATTAACATTGCATTCAATTTAATGAAGTAGAACTTCCTAGAAATTCACTCATGAGAACTTTTAATTTTTAAATATCTGCTCTTCGTCTACCAACTTGAAGAGCTTTAAAAACAATGAATAACGTGAAACTGAAAAACCACGGTACTTTCTAAACCTAATAACTTTAAAACTAGGGGTTGGAGAGATGGCTCAGTGGTTAAGAGCACTGGCTGCACTTCCAGAAGTTGTGAGTTCTGTTATGAGGTCTGGTGCCCTCTTCTGGCATGTGGGCATACATGGAGGCAGAATGTTGTATACATAATAAATAAATAAATCTTTAAAAAAATAACTTCAAAACTATTAACAATTATCTTTGAACCAGCACAGAATAAAGCTTAGATGTCCGTATATTGTTGGGGTAAAATAATGGGCCCGTGGGGAGCTTGGCCAGGAGGAAGTCACTGGTATGTGGATATCCGTGTCCAGGCTTTCACACAGAAATGTGTTTAAGATGCCTTACCTGCTTGGCTTCCCTCTCCTAAATGTAAGGGACAGTCCTCCATCTCCCCACCACATGCCACTTTAGCACTGAGGGCTCTACTCTGCACCCCTCTGGTTTGCGTCTAAAGGGAAGGGATAGTCTCGGGTCTTGGGGACAATGAGGTCACTGGCTGAGGCCATCTGTCAAGGGCAGTTGTTAGGCCAGCTCCCTCATCCCCATCCTCACCCACACATACTTTCAAGTCCTGAAGCACGACATTTTTTGTTTTGTTTTAAACAGGGGTGCCGACAGGTAAAGCTAGGGCACGTCACTGCTCATGTATCAACAGTGGATGCTCAGCCCAGAGAGGGTGGCTTCTCTGCCTGTCATCATGGACCAAAACGCTTTAACTTCCAGGGTAGGGGTGGGTGCTATCGTAAGAGTCACAGCTGCCTTTTCATGTCCAACCCCATTCCTTTGCAGGGAACATAGCCAGGGATGATCGGGTCAGGAAACACAATTTGAAAGCAAACGCGCTTGGGAGGCATTCTGCTACAGAATTTCACTAATTCCTCATGAAGTGAAGCTGTGTTTCCTGGACAGTTTCCCACAGAAGTGGAAAGAGGTAGCGAGACCAGCATTGCTAAACCTGTGGAGCACACCCTCCCTCAGGTCCCTGCACCTTGATAGGACCAGAGATACACAGTCTTTGGAGGAGCGACACTATTTCTCAACAGACATTTGCATCTAGCTTGGCTATTCATAGTTGGCTTAGCTCCATGCACCTCAAAGGGCTAAGGAGGGCATTTTCCCCGTCGCACCCCAGGACCTCCTGCGTTCACGGCTTACCATCCTGTCCAAACATCTCCAAGACTCCAGGACCACCCGAGTCAGAACTCCAGGTCCACAGTAGCCTCAACTTTCATGGGTCCTGCTTTTAGGTGGCACAGCTTGGGACGCTCTTATTGCCTCACCTGCGCCTACTCCCCCAAGCCCACTGGACACCAATGGCATTGCTGCCGTATAAAACAGTAAAGCCGCAGTCATTCCCAAGGTGAGCTTCTTATTTGTGCTCAATTCCCATGTAGCACGGGAGTCGTGTGTGCTTATTAAAAGTGGGTCAAACAGTGCTGCTGTAAGCCCTACTACTTTAACACTAGCCAGCAAATCGATTCATTTTGAGGCTTGGTTTGCAGACATCTGGGAATAGGAGGAAATAACTGTGGTATAGTCGGTGACACTTGAGAGCGATCACAGAGAGATGAATGCTGGATGGGGGGGGGGGTTGCCATTGTTAGTTACGTCAGACGGCAGAGCAGGAGAAGCCTGACAGAAGTCGCCAAACGTGCCGAGACAGTGGCGTATTTAATGGGTACCTCCACCAGCAGGAGCAATTCATGTGTGGCTCCAAAGGTCTACAACTAAGGGTCAATGTTTTAAAAGAAACCTCATACTGTGCTTTTTCATGTTACTTTTGTGTTGCTGCTGTTACTCCTTTAGACATTCCACTATATCCAGGCTTCGGGGAGTTGGGCAGCATTAGTCAATGCTTCAGATAAATCAAAAGGGGAAATCTTAAAGTTGGAAAAAGTGTATTTGTTTGGTTTGATTTTGAGGTTTCTTTTTATTTTTTTAAGTAAAGACAAGAGCACCCGTTAGATTCAGCGAGGGCACACCCCATGTAATGTGGGCTGCTGCAGAATGCTGTGTGACTGGGCTGTAGAGCAATTGCTAGAATCTTTTCATCTATTGTTATTACAGCGCTGTTCACCGGACAGTAGCCACCCCTAGAGAGGAAGGCGCAGCAAGCCACAAAGGGCGCAAAGGACAGAACCTTGTTCTCATGCAGGTTCCGCTGCCGCTGCAGGGCCAGGGTCACTTGCTTCTCCGCTTTCTTCACTAGCTTGTCGTCCTCTTGAAGGGCGTGGCTGGTGCGCAACTCCATGATCAACTCCAGCCGCTTCTCTTTGCCCTCAAACATCTGCACCAAAGCAAATCCAGAAAGAGTTACCTGTTACCAGAGCAGCACCGTGAGCTGGGAGGCATGTGCCAGCTGCAGGTTCTGCTGCTCACTTACTACGCCCTCTTTAAAAAGACAAAGCAAACAAACAAAACAAAACCCTACGACAGCACTATTTGAGGCCAGTTTGCTTTTCCGATGAACTAGCCCCTGGGTTCATAGCACACAATCGCTACCGGAAGGGAACTGCAAGCTTCTCCGCGGATTAAGGAGAGGAAGCACAGGGCTGAGCACAGGCGCTCACCAGCTGCCCTGGACTCGCAGTCTCTCAAGAAATGACAGCCTCACGAGGGAGAGTCGTGGAACAGGGATTTGTGTGTTTTAAAGTGAGGTGTGTCTATTGCAGCCTCAGAGATCATCTGGCCAAAGCTTAAAGTCAGGACCAGCACTGGGCCTGCTGCCTGTTAAGGGACCATCCCTCAGACTCAAACTACTTCTTTCTAAAATGAGATTTCTGGTAGGAAGAAAGAAAAAAAAAAGAATACACACGGGTATATAGCTCAAAACTATAACGACTTTGTGTTTCTAACACAAACATTGCTCACTCTATGCAAACTTAATTGTTTTAAGGCATAATAGAAAATTAGGGAGTCCCTCTTGGTTTATAATGTTCTAACCGTCAAAATTAAGATGCACATATCTGGGGAGTTAGCAATTCCACAAAAGAAAAAGAAGTTCACATAGCCCAAGTTATAACTGTGGCACAGGACGGGCAGGTGATTCCACTCATCTTGACCTTGTGTGGCCCCGACGGACAAGGACGGCCCGGACAAGGACGACACTGGGAGGGAAGGGGAGCTAATCCCAAAACACAGCGGAATAAGAGGGCAAGGTGCATGTAGGAATTGGCTTTGGCAGAAGCACAGATCGGTTTCCAGCGTTCACGATCGCGGGACAAACGCTGGCCAGTGGTCTGACCTACGCACCATGTTCTGTACGACTCTGCCCCGGAGTAACTTCTGCAGATAGATCACAGCCATTTCTTTTTCTCCTTCTTCCTAAAGAGACAAAGGGAGGACTGGGTGAGGACGGCAGCAACTAGAGCATCGTACGTTTTTGGGGGGACCTCTTTCAAGAGTGAGACTGTGGGAGATGTCAAAAGAATTGAAAGAGAACTGAGGTGTGGGTCCACTGTTGCCATTGAATACATGGTGTCTTAAATATTATATACTGTATCATTAAAATGTGTCACTTTTATTATGAGCAATACGTCATGACGAGAGCCTAAAAGAGAAACGACGGGACCGCCAAGTTAGCCCTGCACCTGGAGCCACTCCCAGAAAAACTCGTTCTGAATCCACAAATACAGCTAACAATGTCCTTCAACATTGGGGTTTTCATGTTTGCTTCTGAGTAATGAAGGAAGTGGCTAGAGCAGGGCGCTCTTCACACGAGGTAGCTCTACTGGCAAATCAGAACATAGTGGTGAGAGTCGTCAGCTAGAAACACCGACTTATGTAAACAGTTCTGGCGCTGGGAGTCAGGGAGGGACCGCTTTCTGCAGGGATGTAACTCCTGAGAAGCTAGCCACGCTCCACTACAGGGCCCTGGGCCCATGCACACGCCAAACTTGGTGGGTTTACAAAAGAGACCTTGCAATTAGGAGAAAATCATGGTGGAGGAGAAGGGAGGAGTTAGAGCAGACTGAATGGAAGCCCTGATCAAAACACGTTTCATGCATCTATAAAATGGTGTGTCCAGTGCAGCGACAATAAACCTGGAAATCTGATGAGGCCTCTCGATGAAAAGGCAAGCAACAGGCAATGGAGGAAGGTTATGGGTAACCAGAGGGTAGCACAGGGTATGGGGAGGGAGCCTTTCTTGGCCCAACTGTGTGAAGCGGTCCAGTCAGGGACCCCACCAAAGAAAGCTATAGTCTGGAGACGCCTCACCCACTTACCGGGGTCCTCCATACATCTGAATAGTGCTGTTGCTTTGCCCCTCTCCCCCAGTGCTGAGATGACAGGGATCTGTCGCTGCGCCAGGCCATCTTTCTCTCTGTCTCCTCCCACACCCTCCTCTCTCTCTCCCCTTCTCCTTCTTTTTGTAACATACATGGTGATTACCTTCTAATAGCTATTTTTTATTCTTGTGTTTTCATTCTTTAAAAGACTACATAGTTTATATTTCACATGGATTATATTTGTTTTTGTTGGATGTTTGCTACACACAAGTTAAGAGGGAACTGGGGGTGGGTGGTGGGTGAAGAGGTAGTTCAGGGGTTAAGGGCACTAGCTGCTCTCACATCTTCAGCATACCCGTGGTAGCTCACAACCATCTGTCACCCATTTCCCGGGAAATCCAAAGCCCTCTTTTTGTCTCCATGGTCAATCCATGCACGCGGTGCAGGCAAAATGCCCCTACACATTAAAAACAAAAATCTCAAAGGAAATGTAAAACAGAGGGCACTGACTTTAAATCAGAGCTTGAGACGCTAACACTGCTACCCTAATTCCAACCCGGACTACCCTAGGCACGAACTGACTGCAATCCTGATCTTAGTGCTTCAAGTAGAAGCTTCAGACTTACACTGGAATGCATCTCCAGCGTGGGGGTTGGAAGCCGAGCCTGGGGGGTGGGGTTCTTTTGCAGGAATCGCAGAGGCTTCTTTCCGTCTAGCACTTTATTCTTCTTATCCAACAGCGCCTGAAATACATACCAGCTAAGGTCATCTCTTAGTTTCCACCCTCCCCCAGTGCCAGGTCTAGGCTGTAAATCTGGGTATCAAGCCCGATCCCTATGCCTATATTCAAGGTTAGCTGAGGAAGAGCCCGCTGGGTGCGTGTATTCTCCACCATGTGCTATGACATTCCTAAGAATACATTAACCACTGAAAATATGTGGCATCTATTTTTTAAAATATACATTAATTAATTTTATGTTATGTATATGTGTGCATGTCTGAGTGTATAATTTTCACTCTGTGTGTGTGTGTGTGTGTGTGTTGTAGGAGGCTGCTTGTTTGTTCCTGGCTGCTCAGCCCCAAAATAACCATACAGAAACTGTATTAATTACAACATTGCTTGGCCTATCACCTTATGTATATTTCTAGATCACTCTTATCTCTTAAATTAACCCATTTCTACTATTTTATATTTTACCGCAAGGATTGTGGCCTACTGGCAAGGTTCCAACTGCCAGCTTGTGTCTTTCCCCTCTGGTTTCTCTTGACTCCAGAGAAACCGTCTTCTTCCTCCCAGCATTCAGTTTAGTTTTCCCCACCTAACTCTACTCTGCCCTATCACAGGCCAAGCAAGATTCTTTATTCATTAACCAATAAAAGCAACACATATATAGAAGGACTTCTCACATCATGTGTGTGTGTGTGTGTGTGTGTGTGTGTGTGTGTGTGTGTGTGTGTGCAGAAGTTTTCAGAGGTCAGAAGCAGGAGTCAGATCATTTGGAACCGGAGTTACACACCACATAGATGCTGGGAACAGAACCCTGGTCCTCGGTAAACCAAACCCTGGTTCTTTGCAAGAGCAGTAAATGTTCTCTTAGTTGCTGAACTGTCTCTTCGATTCCTACCTAGTTTTGTGTCCGTTTCCATCGGAGATAAGTGGGAATTTAAAAAAAAAATTTAAATGTTCTGTCCTGTGTGCACATCACTTATTATTATTATTAGGTTTTATTTATTTTTTTTTTGAGACAGGATTTATGTGCGTAACAGTCCTGGCTGTCCTGGAACTTGCTTTGTAGACCAGGCTGGCCTCGAACTCACTGAGATGCACCTGCCTCCCCTCCCGAGTGCTGGAATTAAAGGTGTGTGCCACCACCACTGCCCAAACAGAACTTATTGTTTTTAAATAAATATCAAAAAGGAGGTTCTCCTGTGTAGTGAGTGGTTAAACGTTGGTTTTGCTGTTGCAGAGGAGCTGGAGGACATTAAACAGCATCGGTCTATAAGTGGAGAGGGCCCATCCCTTAGGTCTGGAAGGGTGTGAATACTAAGTAAAACAAGCTCACTTCCTGGGGGCTGAGGGTGTGTTCTGTCTCTTTTTATGCTTCCCCCTGTGTGTGTCACCAGAAACCCTGTCACAATTATACATAAGACAATTCCATTAATCTCAGGGAAATACTTTAAATAGAGAAGTACCAAGTTCTTGTGTTGTGACTTAAAGCCTATAACTTAGCTAATTTTTGTCATAAAGTCATTTTTACAGCATATTTTCATAAAAAACACAGGCAAGTGATGTTTGAAAAAAACTACAGCACTGAAAGTTGAAACTGGTAAAAATGTATAACTTATAAGTAAAATTTACATCTCCTAACTGTATAGGTAATAGAACCTCTGGACTTGTCCCAAGCAAAAATGGCAGTAGTTGCCGTCATTTCTGGGCAACCACTGCTGAAATGGCAGTAAAGACGCAGCAGTGGGCGGATATGGGCATGCTGAGAGCTGGGGAGCTCCGAGAGCTGGGGAGCCCCGAGAGCAGAGCAGCCCCGAGAGCAGAGCCCTGGCCAAACCACATGGATCACAAACCCACACCAGCCACTCCAAAGTCAGTCATTCAGGACTAAAGGTTGGCAAGGGTGTGGGGGAACGGACATTTGTATGTACTGCTGAAACTTATTTATATGAGAAAACTTGGCACGATTCATCAACATGAGAAAGTCACACTGTTGTGGAGTAAACTTTGTGTACATTGTAAAGACGTGTGTTTGAATAAGGTGCCTTCTGATTGGTTTAAGAAAGAGCTAAATGACCAATAGGCAGGAGGTATAGGTGTGAGGTGTGAGTTCAATTGCCAGCACCAAGAAGAAAGAAGTTTTAAAAGATGCCCATAGGGGGTTGGGGGAGTGGCTCAGTCAGAAGAGGACCCGAGTCTCACTTCTAAGGATCTATCTAAGGCAAACCTAGCAAAGAGCAGCTGTAATCCTAACCCTGGGGAGACAGAGAAAGGGGGATCCCTGGGTTTTGCTGACTGGCCAGGTACATCAGCAATCGACATGTTCAGAGAAGGACACTATCTCAAAACTAATAAGATGGTAAGCAATGGAGGAAGACTAAAACATCTACCTCTGGCCCACACAAGTGCGTACACACATGCACGTGCTCACACACACACACACACACACACACACACACGCGCGCGCGTGCGCACATACATACCGCACTTTAAAGTCCAAAGAGACAAGACATGGTGGCTCATTCCTGTAATCTCAGCACTTGGAAGGCTGAAGCAGGAGGGATCATGAGGCTCAAGCTAGCTGAGCCACACATTGAAACTTTTTTCTTTTCTTTTTTTTTTTTTTTTTCAAGACAGGGTTTCTTGCCAGGATTACTCTAAAGACCCTGGTAATGATCTTGGAAACTTAAGGAACAGCAAACAGGAGAAATGCCTCAGATAAAGACCTCGAAAGACCCCAGAGGGTATGGGAGCCCCAACCTTCCTGGAGGAAAGACAATGAGGATGACCAGCAGATTTCCAGCCAGGATTCCTGATCAATAAGAAGGGGAAATAGAGAAAAAGTCCAAAGGCGGAGTTCTGTACAAGGCCGTGAGGCTCTGGCTGGAAACAGGGCTGAGGTGTTAGACCAGAGTTCAGTTCGCGGCACCCACATTAGGTGGCTCACATCCACCTGTCACTCCAGATGCACAGTGTCTAGCACCCTCTTCTGGCCACCTTGGGAGCATGAACACACGCACACACACACACACACAAACACACACCTCTCTCCCTCTCAAAACAATAAGATAAATATTTTATTAATAGTGAAAAGGCCAAAAATAAAAAATAAGGAAGCTTCTGTGCTTTGAAGGACGCGGACACTGTCTGGAGTGAAGAGATAACTTAGAGACCAGGAAAACAGTTTTAAAGTGAAAAAGGTCTAGTCTCTGGAATATTTTTTTAAATTCAGTAATAAAAAGACAACTAGTTTTTAAAATAGACAAAATATTCAAATAGACATGTATTAGAAAAACATACAAATTACTGATAGGTACTTTAAAAGATCCTTAATGTCATCGATTATCAGGGAATTGCAAACCAAAACCCCATGGAGCCACCATCTCCCTCATACGGACATGGCTCAGAGCAAACAGATGATAAGAGACAGAAAGGAATCCACGCACAGGGCCACTGAGATAAAAATAGTGCAGTCGAATTGTTAACAATCAGGAAGTTCTTCAAAAAGGAAAACAGTTGCCATATGACCTATGACCTCCTCCTAGAGATACATCCAAAAGAACCAAAAGCAGCATGTCTATCCGAACTAGAACACAGAAGCCCACGGCACCAATCGCAGGAAGAACGGAAAGGCTGATGAGCTGAGAGTGGAGAGAGAGAATGTGGTGTGTCCATTAATGGGATATTGTGTAGTCACAGAAAGGAATGAGGAGCGGGAACTGTGCTAGAATACAAGTGGGAGAATGGGAGAGTCGGGGGGCCCCATTTGCTGTAGGGCTCTGCTTATACAGCATGCTCAGAGCAAGCACATCCACAAAGAGGAGGAAGAACAGAGGCTGGAGGAGAGCGAGGAGGACGGAAGTGAGTGCTCAGAGGTATGGGGTTCTTAACGGGGACGATGGATGAGGGATGACATACACAACCTTGTGGACGTGCTGACAGCCATTGATCTGCATACTTTAAAGGGTGACCTTTATTGTACCTGATTTTTACTTCCCTCCCCCAGCTAAATGCAAAGGAGAAAGATTCAGGACACAAAACCTGGAGCTCACTGCCGGCAGACCATGCCGAAGATGATCCAATTCTTAAGAAAGAAGGAAAATGAGAGGGGTCAGAGACGCGCAGGTCTGTAAAGACAGGGAGAGCGGCAAGGAAGGAATAAACAAGGGGAAGATAAAATCTTTTGTTTTTCCTTAAGTTTTAAAATATCCAGTGTAGCCGTGTGTGTGTGTGTGTGTGTGTGTGTGTGTGTGTGTGTGTCCGCGCGCGCTTGCACACATGCACGTCAGTGCCATGACCACATGGGAGGGGGGTCAGAGGACTGCTTTCTGTATTCAGCTCTCTCCTGCAGCCTGTCTGAGGAAGAACTCAGGTGATTCCTCAGCAAGCACCTTTATCGGCTGAGCCATCTCACGGTCCCCCGTTTGTTTGGTTTTTGTTGTTGTTGTTTGATTGTTTATTTTTATTGATCAAAAAGAAAATCATTTTTTAAAGCAATGAAAGTAAAAATGTGGCAAGTGTGGTGGCATCCATCTATAATTCCTGGTCACGGGAAGTGGAGGCAAGAGGTTGGGAGTTCAAGGTCTTCCTCAGCTACACAGTTATCCAAGGCCGACCTGGGCTCTGTGAGACCCATCTCAAAGAAATCAAAACAGAGTGAAAATGCATTGTGTGCTTATAGGACGAGTGTCAGTGAGCTGAATGCCAGTAGAGTCCCAGGGATGAAGGGGGCCTTGGAAACACTCTGTCCCACACATCGGAGAGGCATAGTATAAAAAAGCCACACTGGATGCTTTTAGATATTAGAGATTAAGAATGGCAAACATCACATATCAAAACTAATGAAATGTAGCAACACTCAGTGTTTTGAAAGGAAATGTTTAGTTTAAAATACTTATATAAAGTTGATGAATGACTGAAATCGATAATCTATACATTTAATTTTTTAGTGTAGGAAAATAATCACAGAAGAACTCAAAGAGGAGATATTTAAAAATACAAGAAAAGGGAGAGTGTGACTATATGTCCAAACCTGAAAATTCATTGTTTGGAAAAATAGTTCCAAGAAAATGAGCAACCCTTCAGTAAAACAGATTAAGGAAAAAGAGTTAAGATATAAACAATGTTACAAATGAAAAAAAATGAACGTGATTATATAAACAATATGATCAGTGATCATGTCAAAAAAACTGAACAGATAAAGTGAGATTCTACACAAGATAATTTAACAAATGAATGCAAAGAAACTGTACATGCTGTAGAGAAACTGAGGCATGGGTTAAACTCTTTTCCATGAAGACACTAGTCCTATGTGACTTTGTCAGTACATCCTTCCACACTGAAGGGACAGATCGGCTTGGTCTTGCTTAAATTCTTCTCAGGGGAGAAGGAAGAAGAGATGCTCCCAGGTCACTTCAGGAAACCTGTTCAACTCTGGTATCGCACACAGGCAAATTAGAAGGAAAAGTAAAAGAGCCGTTTCACCCATGAGCAGAGAAGCAAGAAGTTAAACCAGATCCAACGATGTGTTAAAATGAGCGATGTGTCTGGACCAAGCAAGGTCAACCACGATGCAGGACAGATTAGCATCTGTAAACATTAGCTCTGGAAACACAGACGATCATTGGATAAAGTAACATAAGCACATGGCCAAAAGCTTTAGCAAATCAGGAGGAAAAGAGAGTTTCTATAACGCAATACAAAGTACAGAAAAAGTTCTTACAGAAAATGGTGAGCACAGTATTCAGGAAGGGTGAACACAGATGGAGACGCTGTCGGGGAGAAAAGACACATGTCATCATTTCAAAGGTCCTAAGCTTTTCCAAAGTGCATGTGTGTGTGTTCATATGGGAATGTGTTCTTATGTGCATGTGTAGGGATATGCTCATGCTTATGCATGTGGAAACCGGAGGTCAAACTCAGGTGCTGTTTCTCCAGAGGCAGCCAGCCACCTTGGTTCTTTCATATCTCTCAGTGGGACCTGGACTTGCTGATTACACCAGGCTAGCTGACCCATGACCCCCAGGGATGCTGCTCCTGTTTTCTAAGTTGCTGGGATTATACTACACCCAGCTTTCTTACCTGGGTGCTGAGGGTTGGACTCAGGTATTCATGCTTGCCCAAGGGGTTCTTCACAGGCTGTGCCATCCCCCAGTCCTCAAGGACCTATTTTTTTTTAATGTTGAGTTTGGGTTCCCATAAATTCTTATGTGTTACAAGAATCAGGGGAGCAAGAAAATATCTATGGACAAGAGGATGTCATAAACCAGGGATTCCAGAGTGTGACTCCTGGGCCTCCAGCAACAGCATCACCTGGAGACATGTGAAGCCTGCCCATCTCCACAGCCTCGCCCACATCTACTGAGCGAAACTCCGGGTGGAGTCTAGCAGAGCATCTCAACAAGCCCTCCATGGGATTCTAATGCTGACATCTGATGGGCATCACACTTTCTTGCTTAGTTGATTTTTAAACTAGATTTAAAAAAAAAAAAAAAGACCTTGGTCACATCTCCTCTTCCTCATGGTGCCCTCACAGCAAACATACAGGAAGAAAACAGAACGACTCTTAACAAAGTGATTCCCAATGCTAGAATTAGCTAACTTCATAGTTCCAGACTTTACCCTAAATAGAGCCCAAGTGGAAGCACTTTAAGAAAGTAATAGCTTCTGTATAAGGGAGGGTGACCCCTAGAAAGGCCTGTCATAGTTTGAATTGAAGGTGAACTTGCACAGGAGATCAGGACACACAGGGGACCTCTGACAGCAGAAGTCTAGAGAGGAGAAAGAATGCAGGTCGTGTTTCAGGTGCATGGTCACTGTGGTCCGTGATGACGTACAATTCAGGGTGCAGCATTGCTCTGCAGAGGTCAGAGAGGAAGCGTCTAGTCTTCAGAACCCCCTGATACCTTGTGAACCTCGGCCAACTCATAGTCCATCCTCGCGGCCCTCTTCAGAAAGCCAGCCTTGGTGGTGATGATCTTGGGCTTTGGAGCTTTGATCCTGGGCTGCGTCACAAAATCAGGGAGGCATGATTCAAGTTCCACTAACCCTGTGGGAGGAAGCATGTGGTTTTAGTGTCCCCTGCTTAGGCTGAACGGGCTGAAGGCGTACTGTTAGGACCGTGAGCTTTGGAAGGTGACGTCTTTTAAGAGGATGAACTGTTTCTAAAGCATCGAGTATGTGGAGTTAGCGTCTGCTCTCAGTGCCTTGGGCAGCTCAGTAAGAACCTATTCTAAACTAAAGATGTGTTCTACAGAAAGTACAGCCAGCAGCCAGCAGCGATCTATACAGCTTTATGACAGACAGATGGCGTCCCCGTTCTAAAGTGGGTGTTCACCAACTCATCATATTTTGCTCTGGAGACACCAGACAGGGCTCAAAGCTCAAGAGTCTGACCGGTAACTCAGGATCTTGGCCAGAGGATGCGCCAGCTTGGGAGCTAAACCGTTAAAAATTGAAACAAGTTTCTTGGGCTTCATAAGAGGCACAGAGCCCTTCATGAACTGACCACCCAGTGACTTTGCCCTTTAGATTTCATTGTTTGTTTCATAAGCCCAGGTAAAGCTTTTAAATAAAAATATATTTCAAGCCGGGCGATGGTGGCGCACGCCTTTAATCTCAGCACTTGGGAGGTAGAGGCAGGCGGATCTCTGTGAGTTCGAGACCAGCCTGGTCTACAGAGCTAGTTCCAGGACAGGCTCCAAAGCCACAGAGAAACCCTGTCTCGAAAAACCAAATATATATATATTTCAAAGCGTGATTGCTGTCATTTGTTTTTAGGTAGAAATCTTGCTGAGTGGCCCAGGCTAGCCCAGACTTCTGGACTCTGGGGATTGCAGTCTCCAGCTCTGAGAATTAGGAACCACAGACATTGGCTAACTACACCTAAGCTACCACGTTTCGTAGAGAACTGAATTTGCTCTGTGTTAGATTATTCCACAGGGGTTTTCTGTTCTTTGCGTCTGAGTTTTTATTACTTCATATGAAGCTGTATTGACAAGCACATGCCATCTGTTGGTCGTTGCTTTTCAGGCGTTCTATTGTTTACCTTCGGGGTTTGTTTACCTTCGTAGGTGTTGAGGTAGTGGTTTCTGACGACAAAGTCCTCTGAGTTGTTGTCTGGGAAACGACCAAGGCGAGACAAAGGCCCGTAGACCTGAGATGCAAAATCAGAATACTCCTTGATGATGTCTCTCCTCTGCAGCTTCCCCTCTATATTCTTCCCTTTTCTTAGGAGTTTTCTGATGTCTGCAATAAAGAGTGCTGCCGTGATTCTCTCCCAGATGCTACTCCCAATTATAAATGTAGACTAGTAAATTATAAATTAATAAATATAATTTATAAATGTAGACTAGTAAAGCAACTCGTTTGGGTCACAAGGAAGATATAAAACTGGGTAAATTTTACGATGGCCCACGACAGCCATGCAATGCAGCTCTGGAAACAGGTGTGCCATCTGTGTGGCTCTGAGAACTATGACAGGCAGGGTGGCAGAAGCTGAATCAGCTAGTGTCCTCAGTGTGGAGTTACACACACACACACACACACACACACACACACGTACACACATGCACACACACCCGCCCACACACTTCCCTTTGATGACTGCACGCTCTGGGCTAAGAAGAAGCAGTCAATAGAAGATTGTGAAATAACCGAAAGCAATTCAGAGTAAATAGAAAATCTACGTTATGGGCAATGCTAGATGAACCCACCTCTTTGTAAGGGGAGCACCGCAGATTCACGCTGGCTAACACCAGGGTTTCAGATGTCCTGGCTCAGAGCCTCCAGCCTGGCTTGGTGGGCAGAGGAGAAGGCGCACTTGTGCACAACCAAGCGCTCATCTGGGGAGTCCTGCGTGCACTCCCATCTGCTCTCCGGTCACTTCTCCCCAGAGAGCCATCCCTTCTGCAGCCCTCCCTGGGCCTCCGCCAACAGCTGTGACAGCCTGTCACTAGAGCGAGGAGGCCAGAGCCACTGCTGCCCTGCGCCTACCATTGACGGTCCATCCGCAAGACTTTTTATGTGACTCGGAGTGTTAGAATTTAGTAAAATAATTTTATCTATAAAAGTTGAATCCATCGCGGGCGGTGGTGGCGCACGCCTTTAATCCCAGCACTCGGGAGGCAGAGCCAGGTGGATCTCTGTGAGTTCGAGACCAGCCTGGTCTACAGAGCTAGTTCCAGGACAGGCTCCAAAGCCACAGAGAAACCCTGTCTCGAAAAAAAAAAAAAAAAAAAAATTGAATCCATCACTAGCTATGTCTTGTATTGAAGAGAAAAAAATGTCTAAATACATGGCCAACAGCTAGTGAGGTTAGCTCGAGAAAATAAAACAAAAGCTGAGTTCACTAAAAAGAATTTTCAAGTAAGAATTTAATTTCAGAAAAAAATTAATGTTCATGTATTTTTCTTTAAAAATGTGATTGAGTTGCTAGGGTGCATATCTTCAGGGTTTTTTTTTTATGAATTTGGGACAATCTGAAAACTTTCAGAGCTATTTTTAAATTTCTTTTTTAATTAGCTCCTTGAGAATTTTTGTACAGTGTGGTTTGATTATATTCGCCCCCTCCTCCATCCTCTCAGAGCCACGCCCCCTATTCCCTCACCCCTCCTCAGTCCTCTCAGAGCCACGCCCCCTTTCCCTTCACCCCTCCTCAGTCCTCTCAGAGCCACGCCCCCTATTCACTCACCCCTCCTCAGTCCTCTCAGAGCCACGCCCCTATTCCATCACCCCTCCTCAGTCCTCTCAGAGCCACGCCCCCTTCTCCTAGTGCCCAGTTTAGTGTCCTACTTTTGTCTTTTGTGTTCTCATCCATCAAGTCCAATCTGTGTGCTCATATATTCTTGGGTGTGTAGCTCTCCAGTGGGGTGTGGCCACTTGCCAGGGTCAACACTCTCAAAAGGTAACACACTGTTTAAAACGTTAATCACCTTCTATTTTAAGTGTGTGTGGAAGTGAGTGTTTGTGCTGGAGGCTGCCAAGTGCCACGGCACACTGTGAAGGTTGAGGACAACCTTCAGGAGTCAGTTCTCCCCTTCCGACCGTTAGGTCCTGAGGATCAGACACATTTACCCACAAACAATCTCAGTGGGCCTCAGCAAGGCAATTTTACAGGTAATTTTTAAAAGGTTCTTTTTCAGTAGGAAAGCTGCAAAATTAAACAATAATAATTCAACATTTAACCTGAGTTTTTAGTTGAGTTCTGTGTGTGTGCTGTACGTTCATGTGCATGCACACGCGCGTGCTAGCAGGTGCGGAGGCCAGAGGAGAACACTGTATGCGCTGTTCTATCCACTGAAACGGGGTCTCACACTGAACTCGGGGCTCGCTATTTCAGATACACGGGCTGCTCAGCCAGCCCCAGCGATCCTCTCCCCTCCTCCCTTGCATTGGCAGGACAGGCACACATAGCCACACCCGACTTTTCACCAGGTGCTGGGGGTTTGAACGCAGGTCTTTGTGCTGGCACAGCAGGCATGCTTAGCCACTGGGCCTCTCCTCAGCCTCCGACATAGTCATTCTTAATCCTGCCCTGAATGATCAGTGAAGTGAGTATTTCTTGTTTTCGGGCACAAAATGAAAATGTACAGTTACAGGATATATAATTATAAATATATCTGTGGCATTAAAAAGCTCTTAGAGAGAAGCAATTAGGAAAACGGAAGACTAAAATAGCTTAGGGGGCAAGCATTAAAAAAGAGTAGTTAATTGCCTGGCGTACACTTTTAATCCCAGAACTCTGGGAGGCAGTGGCAGGTGGGTCTTTGTGAGTTCAAGTTCAGCCTGGTCTACAGAGTAAGTTCCAGGACTGGCTCCATAGCTGCTGAGAAACCCTGTTTCAAAAAACCAACCAACCAAACAAGCAAGCAAACAACAAAAACAAACACCAAAACAGTTAAACAATAGGCTTCCTAAGTAGAGCTTTGGTCTGAGTGGGAAGCCTCATACCAACAATGGCATATGTGTGCCTGCCAAGAACTCGACTACTTATTAGAACATGGTCACCTGACCTTCTTAGCAATTTTCAGCCAATGTCCACCTTCCAAAAGTAGCTCCTCTCTCTTCCTTGCCTATGCAATGCCAAATCAGAATTCCATCATAGCCCAGCCCCCTCCCTGGCCGGCTCACGCCACAAATTACTTGACACGTGTGTGTGCTGGATCTGTGCCACCTTGGCCTCCTTCGCCTCCTGCAGCTTCCACCACTGGGCGTTCAGGTGCTTCATGTCCTGCTCATTCTGGTTCTCCTCGCGCCTCCTCAGCAGCTGCTTCAGAACCTCCAGCCGCAGGTCCTGCAGTCTTGGGGTGGGTTACAGAGCATTACTATCCCAAACCGGAAGTTCTATGGGAGAGCCACAGAAGGCCCTCCCTATGAGCATCATATTTGTGCGGTTTAAAAATACCACTGTGGTAAAAAAAAAAAAGGGGGGGGGACAAGTGAGCTGAAATCCTGGGGAGGCCACTCCGGCTGCAGATCTCTATATCGTGGGAGCTTGGGAAAGAGGGCGTGTTCATGCACACAGTGCGGAAGACCAAAAGCAGACAGATAGGGCAAGAGGTGGGCTCTCTAAGCAGTTGAACCTAGAGAACAAGAGGTTTGTGGACAGTACCAGACTAACCAGAGTTAAGAGGAGGAGGGAAGAAAGCCGGGGTAGTAAGCGATCTTGAGACAGGACTGGTCCCTACACATAGTAGGAACTCAGTTGTTAACCTTCCCTTTCCTTCGTGAATCTGTGCTCCCTGCTCATGGGTTCTAGCGCTGCCTTGCTTATATATCTGACCACATGCAAGTGGTGGCGATGTCTGTACCCTCCGCTGCTTAGGAACCAGTGTTTCTGCCTTGGGGAACCTGGTGTGTGCACACCAACCAGCACGTGGAAGGCTGAGACAGGAGGATATGTATTCAAAGCCAGCCTGGACTACATAGAGAAATTCTGTCTCAGAAAAAAGCAAAGGGACGATGGGGCTGAAAATAGGGGGACCAGAGAGGACAGAATGTGCCTCAGATCTTCCCTAAGTGCAGACAGTGAGGGAGGATGGAGCCAAGCGATCAAGGCTTCTGGAGACTGTGCTATTAACATGAAGGCACACAGCTCACTGCTTCCCAGAGTGAAGGATATATCGTCACATGCTACACAAGGAATCGGGTCTTAAGTACTGTGGTGGGTCTGTGACACTGTGAGGAGGCGGGACAGTTCCTGTCACCTAGTGACAGCAGAGCCACTGAAGCTCCACAGACCAACACATTGTTCCCACTATGGTGATGTTGTAAACAGATGCACTCGGCAGCCAGCCATGTAAAGCTTGGCCAATACAATACTATACAGCACATGATGATGGCAACAACTCACTACGTATGCTGACAGATTTATGCAGCTTGTTTATTGCTGTTTTATTTATGTATTTAGAGACAGGGCCTCATGTAGCCTAGGATGACTGCAAACTCAGTACACCGTCAGTGGTCTTGAACTCCTGATCCTCCTTGCCTCTAACTATTGACCACTGACGTCAACCTCCAGGCCAGGCTTTTATTGTTATTTTACTGTGTTATTTTTAAAGCTTCTAGTAGGGATTTTATGTTGGTGGCAGCCCCGTATACCTCATATTTACCGTATATCCAATGGAACCGAAGGGCCACACTGAGTGACCTTAGCTGTTCAGGATGAGAAAGAGCACTCTGAGAGTCACCCAGCGACAGGCCCACCTAGTGACACACTTCTCAGAACACACCCCACTGTTAAGCAGGCAGTGACTGTACTGAGTGGCACCAGGGTCACCCACATCCCTCTGTTAAGCAGGCAGTGACTGTATTAGGTGGTACCAGGGTCGCCCACATCCCTCTGTTAATCAGGCAGTGACTGTATTAGGTGGTACCAGGGTCGCCCACATCCCTCTGTTGAGCAGGCAGTGACTGTTCTAGGTGGTACCAGGGTCGCCCACACCCCTGTTAAGCAGGCAGTGACTGTTCTAGGTGGTACCAGGGTCACCCACACCCCACTGTTAAGCAGGCAGTGACTGTTCTAGGTGGTACCAGGGTCGCTTCTCCATCTTGCTTTTACTTCCATTTCTTCTGTGGCAGAATGGAGACAATAGTGCCTCTTTCATGAGGTTGTTGTGGGCGTTAAATGAGTAACCGCAGGAAAACTTCTCGAACTCAAGTGTGAAACAGAGCTCTCTGGAAGGTCTGCTCCGATGCAGACTGATGACTCTGACCTCCTGATTCAGTAGGATAAGCCCAAGACTATGGGTTTCTAGAGTGTTCTCAGAACAGTGTGCACAGAGTGAGCACTCTGAGTGATGTGTTCTCTAAAAACCATAATAATGATGGTAATGATGGTGACGGTGATGGTAATGTATGAACGCTGCTCTCACCCACCCAGGACAGCTCTCCAGGAGCCAGAGAACCTACTTTTCAATCTCTCCCTCTCTGAAGGCCCACTCCTTCCTCTCCATGGCGTTCATCATCTTCCTCCTCTTCTCAACCTGGAGGCTGTCGTTCAGTGGGGGCAGAGTGGCTTCCCAAGCACGCTTTTCCCGGGCCCGCTCTATCATCTCCACCTCAGCTTGTCCTGCTGGGAGACCTCGGCCTGCAAGGGAATGTCACAGCTCAGGAACACAGGGCACACCCACAAGCCACCTCCTGCCCTGCTCCAAATTCAAGCGTTGGGCTAGGTCACGACGTCCCTGGGAAAGGTTCCCTGGAGGCCTCAAAGCTTATGTACCCTTCATGCCTCCTCTTACTGAGGCAGAAGTTGTTTTGTTATAGAATATTATTTTAAGATGAGTTACATTTATGTATGCTGTGGAACATTTGTTTAATGATGCAAAGAAGTGTTGTATTCTTTCATGTTGCATTTGCTTAACTCTGTGAAGTTGTATTACTTTGCCTGCCTAAAACACCTCATTGGTCTAATAAGGAGCTGAACAGCCAATAGGATAGGCAGGGCTGGCAGGCAGAGAGAAGAAATAGGAGGAGAAAAAGATCAAGGGGAAAGGAAGAGAGGAGGATGTAAGGGGTCAGCCACCCAGCTACATAAACAGTGATGGAGTAAGAAAGAATGAAAGGTGTATAAAATAGAGAAAGATAAGAGCCCGGAGGTGAAAGATAGATGGGATAAATTTAAGAACAGCTGGTTAGAAACAAGCGAAGCAAAGGTCTGTTATTTATAAGTAATAATAAGAATCTGTGTGTACTTATTTAGGAGCTGCGTGAAGAGATGAGAGTAAAAAGCTACCAACATTTTTGGTTGCATACATGTTCCAGGAAAGCACTGGGGAAACTGTCAGTGGCCACCAAATTGTCACACCTTCGAAAGTCCTGTACTAGACAAGTCCATGTTTTAAAATGCAAAGAGGGGCTGGAGAGATGGCTGACCTTCCGAAGGACACAGGCTCAGTTCTCAGCACCCACATAGTGACTCAAAACCATCTGTAACTCCAGTTCCAGAGGTTCTGGCACCCTCTTCTGGCCTGGTGGGCACTGGACATATTGTAGTGCACAGATTAATAGACAGGCAAAACACCCACATACTTAAAATAAAAATAAATAAATTTCCAAAACGTTAAATGCAGAAGGGAAAACAGATCTGAGACTGGAGCCTTGCTGGATGAAAGTTAAAAAGAACCATACTTTTAAAAAGGAACAGATGACAAAGAAATAATCCTGAGCCAAGAATCTTCCTTGCATCCGTCCACTCTAGTGAATGTACGGTCTAGCAGTGGGCCTCACTTCCACCTTTAAGAGTTCAAATACTGATCTAGTCATAGTCATAGCTATAGCTCAGAAGCACAAGTCAGGACTTAGCTCAACTTAGCCTCCTTTGACCCAGGGTTTGGGACCCAGTTGCAGATTTTATAGCTAGCAGATCTAAATGTAGCTTCGTCTTGGCCCATTATCTTCATAGGACCAAAAACTTTTTTTAAGGAATTAGGTATCAGGAATTAGTTCCTTTTTAATATTTTAATTTTTATTTTAAGAATAATTATACAGAAAAGTCTAAAGAAAAATATATTTCTACCACATACAGTGAGCTACTTCTTAATTTTCTGTTCTACTTGTTCTACGTCTTTTGTTTATTCATCAATTCATTTAATGTATGAGGAAATACATATGTTTAAAGAAATGAGTAGGGCTGGAAAGAATTAAGAACAATTAAGCATTTTAAGAGTTCGTGCTGTTCTTGCAGAGGACCAGAGTTTGGATCCCAGCGCCTACATCAGGTGGCTCACAACAGCCTATAACATCATTTCCAAGGGATCTCGCTCTATTTTGGCCTCTACAGGTACCTGTACTCACATGCATACACCCTCCCCTGTTCCCCTCACACACAATTGCATAATTACAATTTTTAATCTAAGTAAAATATGTTCTTAAAACGAAAATGTAACATCTTAAAAAGAAATGAATAATCCCTTGTCTAATACATATGAAAATAAATATATCTCCTATTTGTATAGTTTTGTTTAGTAATTTAAGAACAAAAAGTATGAAAATACCATTTTCATACTAGGCATCTGTATCATCTATCAAATATCTTTACCTTTTCTAATGAAAGAAATTTAAAAATTAAAACTAAAGCTAAAGATTCTTATAATCACGAGCCCCGCTCTCCTCTTCCCTCTCCCAAGATAAACACAGAAGGAATTTAGAGCATTCTTCCTAACCTTGGCATTTTGGCACTCTGGGGAGTCAGGTGTCTGTGACTTCTGATAAGTTACATTTTGTTTTATTTTCAAGGCAGCGTTTCTCTGTGTAGCCCTGGATGTCCTGGAACTCACTCTGTAGACCAGGCTGGCCTCAAACTCGCAGTGATCCACCTGCCTCTGTCTCTCTAGCTCTGGGACTAAAGGTGTGCTTAAATCACTTACAATATAGCAAGGACTGTTCAAATTTATCTACTCGTCAATAGATCCCTATCATAGAAGTATAATGATTCCTATCTTACAAATAAAGAAACCAAGGGCCTAAAAGGTGAAGCCAGTGGCACGAAGCGGAGGTCGGGATCAAGCGCAGCAGTCTATACTGTGTTCTTACGCGTCGGCAGCTATGCCCCTCATGAGGCAGGAACCAGAAACCAGATTTGATTCGAAGATGAAACAAAAAGAGCTACATAGAAACAAATGAACCGACTTTAAAAAGAGCACACGTGCTGTTTTTACAATCACATGCAAGCTGGATTCACGTGTTATCTGTGTTTGCTCTTAGCCAGAGGATGAAAAGCCCTTACCCGTGTATTATGCTGAAACACCTCTTTACTCCACTCCATGGTGGGGGACCCTTAACTGCACTCTCAGAGCCATCCAGGACTTCATTCGGTTTAAGCTCGCATCTCTGATGGGACCTCTAGATTGTCTCAATATCTACATCTACTCAAGGCTGCAGCAAACCCCCTCCTCTGGTCTCCCAGTGTGACCTTCTCTAGGATTCTCACAAAAAAAGGCTTCAGTCTGGAAGTTAGAATTTAAGATAGGATCGCGTTAATCTGGGGAAACTGCTAAATACCCGTTGGCGGGTATTTCTGCTGGGTATTACAATTCCTCCCTCCTTCCCACAGGGTTTATAGTCAATCTCAGTTGCCACCCCACAGGCTTTGCAAACACAAAGGAGCTCATGGATTCTGTGGGGAGTTTGAAAACTGTAGCTATCTCTCACAGGGACAGTTAGAGCATGAGTAGGGATTTCAGTTAGAATTACCTGAAGATATAAGGAAGGAAATCACACCCGTTTGAGCTCCCCACTCACAAGCGTGGTCTGTGTCTGCCTTCCTCGCACCTCTGTAGGCCTAAAGAACCATTTTTAATTTCTCTATAAAGTCTTGGCCTGTCATTAAGTGATTAAGCCCATTCTCATTTGCTACAACTAGGCTGTGATCTTTCCCAGTAACTTTTCTAAGTATTTGCTGCCCGTGCAGTAAGGTTATTAGTCTTTGTGCGTGTGTTGATTTCATGCTCAGCTCTCTTGTGGATCATTTTGTTTTAGCTGGCTTCATCAGTGTGCCGTTTTGAGACAGAGTCTCACCAAGTAACACTGGCTAGCCTGGAACTCACGGAGGCCCACTTGTCTCTGCCTTCTGAGCGCTGAGATCAAAGGCGTGCGCCGCCACATGGCATCTTAATAGATTTTTTTTTAATAGATCACATTTTATTTTATGTGCGTGGGTGTTGTTTTGCTTGCATGTATGACTGTGCACCACTTACATGCCTGGCTTCTTGCAGAGGCCAGAAGAGGGTGTCGTATTCCCTGAAATGGAAGGTACAGATGATTGTGAGGTACGATATAGATCCCGGGAGTTGAACCCAGGTCCTCTGGAAATCAGCCACTGAGCTGATTCCCACTGAAGTAACCACTGAGCCATCACCCCAGACTCTTATTAGGGTTTTAAATAGTTTTGCTGCTGACCCTTATCCCATTTCTTTTTTATCTTGTTCACGCTCATGTCATCTTACCTCTCTGTTGCATTCTGGGACTCATCTTCATTTTCAAATAAATCCCTGGCCACTTGTCTTCTTTTGAGAAACGTCTATTCAGGCTCACTGCCCAGTTTTAAGTCAGGTTGTGTTTGCTTTCCATTGCATAGTGTGCAGTCCTTGTATAGTCTGAAGACGGAGACTAACCCCTGCCTAATAATATATTATGTACAAATATTTTCTCCCAGCATGTGAGTTATCCTTCACTGTAAAAAGCAGAACTGCCTGAAAATGCGTCATTCCCAGGAACTCGGTAGCTTGCACTGCTGTCTGCAATATTCAGTGACAGTTACCAACTCACCCCAAGTCAGGTTAGCCAGGGTTAGGAGCTCAGGAATAGTGTCTTGACACACGACATATTCTGGAGAGTACGGATCCGTTTGCACATCCGCATCCCGGTAGTCGGTCTGAGTGCCCACAGTAGACTTCGAAGGGATGACGGTATACTTGGAAGATTCAGAAGAAAAAACAAATGGTTCTATCCTAGGAGGATAAAATTAAAGGTTGAAACTCAATGTGAACATTTAGAACACTACAGAACCAGGTAAAAACAAGTCCTCGGGCTTCGTTAAGACCCCCCCCCCCCCCCCCCGCCCCCGTAAATGCTCACAGAGTCCAGCATGACTACGAGTGTGCCCGTGTGCCCTACACTTCCTAGAGAACAACCATGTTGCTCTCACTGGTACCAGAACAGTGAGTGGACATAAACAGTGTGTGTGTGTGTGTGTGTGTGTGTGTGTGTGTGTGTGTGTGTGTGTGTGCGCTGCACAGCCAGAGACGGCTCTCGGGTGGGGGTGCTGCATCCCCAGGATTGCTCAGCTTCGCTGCATTCCCTGCTGCGTCTCTGATCTCAGTTATAGCCCAGCTGAGCTGTGTCTTTGCAGAGATGCAGAGGACAGAACGCTCGCTGAAGGCACCAGGCACCAGGACCCATGTGTCTTCGTGGATGATGGCTCTTTAATCAAGGCTGGGATAACGCAGTGAGCACGTGGGAGAGTTAGCAAACCCCTGCCACAAAAAAATCACCTGCAGGGAGACTGCAAATGCATCAACAGAAAGTATAACCAGGGGCCAGTGGGATAGCCCAGTGGGTAAAGGAGCTTGCCAACAAGTTTGATGAGCTGAGTTTGATGACCTGGAGTTATATGATAGAAGGGCAGAACAGATTCCCGCGTGCTGTCCAGTGTCACACGTGTGCTCCCACACCCACATACAAACACACACCCCCAATAAATAAAAACGTGCTTTTCTTTTCTTTTGCTAGCAAACGTATCCTGGTATGGGGCATATACCTATAATCCAGCACTGGGAGAGAGGGACACGGTGAGCTGGAGACAAGTCTGGCTATATAGCAAGAAGTTGTCTCAAAAAACAAATGCACAAGTGAAAATATTTATACTGGGGCTGGGGAGGTGGCTTAGGGGGTAAAAGTGTTTGCTGAACAAGCCTGGTGACTTGAATTTGATGCCTGGAGCCCACTGCAGGGGCATGTGTCTGTAACCCCAGAACTCCTAATGGAAGATATGAGACAGAGAAAGAACCAGCAGGGAGCTCAAGGGCCATTTAGTCTAGAACACACTGCACACAGAGAGAGACCCCCTCCCTCGGCTAGCCTGGAAACACTCACAGAGAGACCATCCCTAGGCTAGCCTGGACACACTCACAGAGAGACCTTCCCTAGGCTAGCCTGGACACACTCACAGAGAGACCTTCCCTCGGCTAGCCTGGACACACTCACAGAGAGACCTTCCCTAGGCTAGCCTGGACACACTCACAGAGAGACCCTCCCTCAACAAGAAAGAAGGAGAGACCCGATTCTCAAAAGTTGTCCTCTGACATACACAGACTGGCATGGTAGATGTGTGCCCACCCTCACACACATAAATAGACAGAGGAATGGACAGATAAGAGCATATGGAAACACAAAAGCCCAGAATAGCCCAAACAATACTGCACAATAAAGGAGTTTCTGGGGGTGTCACCATCCCTGACATCAAGCTCTACTATAGAGCTGCAGTAATAAAAACAGCTTGGTATTAGCATTAAAACAGACATGTGGGTCAATGGAATCAAATTGAAGACCCTGATACTAATTCATACACTTATGAACACCTGATTTTTAACAAAGAAACTAAAATTCTACAATGAGAAAAAAAGAAAGCATCTTCAACAAATGGTGCTGGCATAACCGGATGCCGACATGTAGAAGAATGCAAATAGACCCATATCTATCACCATGCACAAAGCTCAAGTCCAAGTGGATCAAAGACCTCAATATAAACCCAGCCAAATGAACCTCATAGAAGAGAAAGTAGGAAGTAGTTTTGAACGCACTGGCACAGGAGACTACTTCCTAAATATAATACCAGTAGCACAGACTTTGAGAGCCACAATTAATAAATGGGACCCCTGAAACTGAGAAGCTGCTGTAAGGCAAAGGTTACAGTCAATAAGACAAATGGCAGCCTACAAAATGGAAAAAAGATCTTTGCCAACCCCACATCTGACATCAAGTAACTAGACACTAAAATTGCCAAATAATTCAATTTAAAAATGGGGTACAATCTAAGCAAAATTCTCAACAGAAGAATCTCAAATGTCCTAAAGACATTAAGGAATTGCCCAACATCCTTACCCATCAGGGAAATGCAAATCAAAACGACCCTGAACACCTGTCAGAATGTCTAAGATCAAAATGCCGATGACAGCTTATGCCGCAGAGAGACAACTCCATCGCAAGTGGAAGTGCAAACTTGTACAGGCATTTTGGAAATCACTATGGCAGTTTCTCAGAAATTTGGGAATCAATGTACCTCAAGACCCAGCAATATCACTCTTGGGCAAATACCCAAAGGACACACAATCATACCACAAGGATATTTGATCAACTATGTTCATAGCAGCATGGTTAATAGCCAGAACCTGGAAACAACCAGATACCCACCAACCAAAGAATGGATAAAGAAAATATATGTGGTGCATTTACATAATGGAGTACCACTCAGCAGTAAAAAACAATGACATCTTAAAATTTGCAGGCAAATAGATAGAACTAGAAAAAAAAAAACATCCTGAGTGAGGTAACCCAGACCCAGAAAGACAAGCACAGTATGTACTGACTCATAAGTGGATATTAGATGCAAAGCAAAGGATAACCAGGCTATAATCCACAATTCCAGAAAAACTTGGTAAAAGGGGGGACCAAGTGGAGAACACACATAGACAGTCCCAGGAAGGAAAAATAGTGCCACGTCCACAGCAGTGACTGCCGTGTAGTGACAAAATGCCTCTGCGCTGGCTTTTGCCTGCTGAAGGATTGGGGTTAGAGCTTCTTGGAGCGAAGCCCCAGGTGGTCCCCCTGGCAATCAGCAGTCCAGAGAGGACCTGATGCCCTAGGCAAATCTCGTATCTGGAGAT